GCAAGCAGCAGAGAAAAATAGAGACATGTGTTTTGCCCCAGCTGCTTACTACTGCTGCCTGATCTCTCCCATTCACTGATCGAGAAGGAAACACAAGGTTGGTTGGGCTCATTTGTTTATGGACTGGTTTATTGTGTCATTACGCCTAGATTGTGGTTTGGATATTCACATTTCTGTTAAAGACCCAGAATCCCTCTTCTGTTTTTTTGTGTTCCCACAAGCTGCCAAAGCATGAATCCAAATCTCATCCCTCAAACTGATTTGTAGTTTTAGGGGAATTCCATGTTAGTATGGCTTCTGGGCACACACACACACATACATACACACATGCACGCAGGCACACACTCCTGCCCTATAAACAGTAACAGTGCAGTGAGTGTGAGCTCCAGAGAAGATTAGCTGTGGCTGTTATCTCTAATGTGTAGACTAGCAGAGGCTGCATGTGAAGGAAGACACACTTTTTAACAAGAATCAGCCTTCAGCAGGTACTTGTCTTAATAGTTTGAGGGAATGCGCGTAAAACAAACCCAAAATGAGTTTGTTTTTGTGTGTGTTTGTGTTGCAATCTGCACAATAAGGTTGCACAAGAAACCAACAGCCCAAACTACCACCAGCCGCTGCCGTGGGTTGCAGTGGCTGACGAAAGCAGTGACGGCTGGCTCAGAAGAAGAGTTTTCTCTTCCTCATAAAGCGTCTAGGAGAAACACACACACACACACCGTTCTCCAGTTTCACTGCTGGATCTGTCATGCAGGCGTGTTTAAACACACTCTGAGTTTGTTTGTGTGTGTGCCTCTACAGGTTTTACACTGCAGGTGACTTGTGTGCAGATTTGTTCATGCCTGCGTGTGCTTATTTACAGTGTGTGTGGATATAATTAGCCAACGTACAGATTCTTTCCTGGTATTGTTGCCGTCGGGGATCGTAACACAACCCAAAGGGCTGTTTGTCTATTTTTAGTGGTGGAGACTCAAGCAGCCAGGCTATGAAGCTTCCCCCCGGGCAAGATAAAGATAAGGTGTGTGTGTGTGTGTGTGTGTGTGTGTGTGTGTGTGTGTGTGTGTG